AAATCTGACCCAGACATTTCTTTGTGAAATTCACCATTTACAGTGCAAAACATAAGAATGAACTAACTTTATGACAACAAACGTGCACTAGTGAGGGACTTGCTCCCATTTCACTGGAACTGCTCAGGATTTTCAATGCATTTCATTCTGAATACAAGGGTGAAAAGATGACAAAATATGGCATGCCGTAAAGTGCCATAAAAGTGTTTTACAAGTATTCTGTTGATCTCACACTTATTATGAGCGGGTTTAATAGCAGTGCAAAAACAGTGAGTGATTTCAGTGCTGGACATCTGTGGATTTATTATTAGTGGTTCTGCTGGTTCTCGCTAGAGTCACTAGTTTAAACAGAGCGAGTGGTTTATATCCACCACGTGATGTCCTTTCATTCATTCTGAGCAAATGCACAGAGCAATATTCAACTTTGTCAAAGTGGAGCGGATAGAACCGGTGCAAATCACAATGTCACAGCTTCAAGTGTATCTGCGTGCATTTGTGTATATGCAACTGTTAGCATCCACACGTGGATTAATATAACGTGACGGTCCAGAACATTTTCAGTATCGTTCTGATTTCCTTCCCAAGTGTGAGTGCACATTACGTCAAGTCTGCCAAAATACCTTAAACCTGTTTATAACCCATTTTTCTTTGCTCCATTTAACTAACTGAATGTTTTCCATGAAAGTCTCTTTCATACTTCCTACTTCCGTATGCGTGAGCGCTGTCTAGCCAGTGTGTTCATGAAGCAGCAGGTCACAGTGGCGATGATCAGCACGCCCACGAACAGAGCCGACGACACGCCGATCGCGAGAGGTACGAGCAGCAGATCAGTGACTGGGGAGGAAATAAATCAAAACATATATCAATAATAACAACAAGTCTGTCAGCTCAACACCAGATCACACAAGCACGCTAGAGGTAACTTGTAAAAAACACTTATGAACACCAGCATACTTTCGATGCTGAACACAAGAATTTTTGACACTAAAAAGGAAAGAGGAAACCACTAGAAAAGGGGTGCACCAAAAAAAAAAAAAGGAAAAAATAATATATACAGTTTCTTTGTGTGTGTGTGTGTGTGCACTTTTACATTTATTGTGCACACATAAAAATAAAAAAAACCCATTATATACATATATATAAAAAATATATCTTATTAAATATTTTATTTATTTTAATATAATAACACACACACATACACATATTTTATATATATATATATATACACAGGGATGCAGACTGCGACCAAATAGTCGCATTTTGCAAGAATTTTTCCTGCTGGTGCGACTGCAAAATTATATAAAAAATTAATGCACAGGCGATTTCAAAAATGACGCATATTGAGGAAACGATGAATGGTTTTCAAGTTAAAGTAAAGTAAAAGGCCACTTCTTAAACAAACCAGAGAAGGTGAACATGTTGGTATTCTTGTGGGGAAAAACATGCAAGCACTGTCACCTAAACATGCAAGCTTAGTTTTACTTTTCAATTTCATTTTGAGAAATGGAGACTCTCTTTTATTTATTTGATTCCTCAGTGTTTGCTAAACGTTCTGTAATTTATTAGTCGGTATATAATACAGCATGTGGTGTGTGCCATGCATGCCTCGTCTTATTCATTTTTGTTAACAAACGTTTTGTAAGCTAGTTTGTCATTGTATCTTACGGTTTTATTGTTTTGTGCTTTTTAATTAAGAATAACAATGAATCCATCTTTTGTTTTAGTCTTAAAAAGTGAAAGGTGTGTAGATGTATGTATGCAAAACAGACAATTATCTTTTCTTGTAAAACGTGACAACAAGATCGCGACTTCGAAAGGGAAAGCGTCCGAAGCCCGGCTTATAACACAGCAAAAGAGGAACTCCCGTTCACAAAATTCAAATCACAAATACTAGAAAAAGAAAAAGAACGGGTATATATATATATATATATATAAATTGTCAAATATGCTGTCAACTTAATAAAAGTAAATATTGCCTTTATAATAGAACAGAATTTTTTAAATATAAAATAATATACCAAATATATAGATGCCTTTATGTTTTAGAAAGGAGGTCGGGTAAAAACCCCCTGCACTAGAAAACTAAATACTGTCAGATGGGTTATTCCTGTACAGGAACGGATTTCTCTTATCTGATCATAGCTCACCTCGTGCGTACAGGTACAGGTGTACAGTCTCTGACTCGGCTTTAGCGCCGGTGTTGTACCATCCGCCGCGTGGATCCTGCGCCCAAACCTCGGCTCGACACTGATAGTGTCCCTGATCCTCTTCAGCGGCCGAGAAGATCCTCAGCCTGAAGCAGCCAGCAGACACACGGTCCACGCTCAAGCTGCTGCCGTTGCTGTAGATGAGCGTCAGGCCGTCGTAGCTCAGAGTCGCGAGGACGCGGCCTCTGCTGTCCTCAGAAAGAGCGGCGTCTTTGCTCGCCTGCTCCTGAAGCCACTGCACCTCGACTCGTGAAGCTCGGGTGGTTTGCACAGAGATGTTGCAGAGCAGGGCGACGGTGCTGCCGCGCTTCAGGAGCGGCCGACGCGGTAAACCAACGCTAGCAGATACGCGCACCTCTGAATGGACACAAACACAAACGCTGCGTTAATATACTCTCAACACGGCATCTGGGTCACACTTCAACCACAAGAAAAAAATGGATAAATAAAGACTATTTTTATTTATGTTCATTTGAACCGTTTAACCGACCGTAAGAATTTTGACCGATTAATACAATCCGTTAACCGGTTTAAAAAGTCATTTAATTAGCTATTTTTTCAGTAATTTATTAATACATATTTAAAAAGGTTTGCTGCATGGTTAAAATGCGCTACGAGTATAAAAAAAAATGTGTTTTTTAGGGGGAAAAAACAAAAGTCGCGTAAAGTCGCATTTTATCGTTTCATTCAGAAATAGGCCTAATGCCGACGTGAAATGTTTACAAACACTGTAAACATAGCTAGGCTATTTTAGTTCCCCTCACTCCACAACAAATCCTTTCAATTAACAGTATTTAGAAAAGAACAAGAATTAAAAATATAAGAAGCTATAGCAATATAAACGACAAGCCAAAACGAATACATTTAGGCTAAAAACGAAACTGAAACCAATGTTGCGTCTCTCATTCCACACAAAATCAAATGTTTCCGTATTCGCGATGTATCTGAATGGCAAATTATTATTTATTATGTAGCCTACGCTTCACTCGCGTTCCAATATCCACGTAAAACTAAATGTTTTGCATAACATCACGGCGGTGCGGTGATAACACTTAACGGCACAGATTTTACTACATATTTTTTCCATATGTTTGACTGACTATTTTATTATGCTAATGAACAGGTTGCATTGTCAAGGTAGCAAAGCTTAACCGAGTTAAAAAAATAAAGTTTTTTCCTTCTAACAGTGGAAGCAACTACTCCTTTTAGTCCTAAAGATAATCGGAATTGTAAAAGGTTTGCCTTTATTTGTGTACATTCACAATAAAAACAAATCTTTGTGCTTTTGTAAAATAAGCCTAAAGAAAAATAGGATGCCACTTTCTGCCGTCTTGGTTTCCTTTCACGCAGCACAAAAATGAACCGAAACACTGCATACTAGGCTACTTTTTCTTTCATTTTCTTAATTTATTATTTAAGTAAAATATGTTTTTCATATAGGCCTATTTATTCGTTTTATATATATATTTATCAGTGTTGGGGGTAATATATTACAAGTAACGCAAGTTACGTAATCAGATTACTTTTTTCAGATAACTAGTAAAGTAACGCATTACTTTTTAATTTACAAGAGAATATCTGAGTTACTTTTCAAACTTTTAAAAGTAACTTTCCCAACACTGATATTTATTATGTTGTTCTCCGCTCGCAGAAGCGCTGCAGGTGCGTGATGTGATGCATGTGAATCCTCATGTTCTGTTGTTTGCTGCTTTTTGCGCGTGTAAAATTAATCCCCGGGAAACAAATGTTAGTATTTTTTAACGGGTCACAGACACTTATCCTTTCTAATTTAATTCAATTCTAATTTAAAATAATCTTGTCGGTTAACGGTTAACAATCGGTTAATGAGCATTGGTTGTTGGTTAGGAAAAATAACCGAAATGAACATCCCTAGTTTAAATCAAAGATTTATTTTGCATTTTTAAATTAGAACTAGGTGAAAAATTAGGTTTAGAACTAGGTTTTGATAGTATTTTATAGACTACTATTTAAAAGCTTGGGGTTGGTAAGATTTTTTTATGCTTTCGAAAGAAGTCTCTTCTGCTCACAACAGCTGCATTTATTTGAAAATACAGTAAAAATAGTGAAATATTATTCTAATTCAAAATAGCTGTTTTCTATTTTAATATATTGTAGAATGTAATTTATTTCTGTGATGCGCAGCTGTATTTTCAGCATCATTCCTCCAGTCTTCAGTGTCACATGATCTTCAGAAATCAGTATAATATGCTGATCTGCTGCTCGAGATGATTATTATGAATGCTGAAAACATTCATATTTTTGTGGAAACTGTGATACATGTTATTTTTCAGGATTCACAGATGAATAGAAAGCTCAAAAGAACAGCATTTATTTGAAATATAAATATTTGTAACATTATAAATGTCTTTACTGTCACTTTTGATCAGTTTAATGCGCCCTTGTTGAATAAAAGTATTAATTAATAAAAAACAAAACAAAGTAACCTTACTGACCAAACTTTTGAACTGTAGATCAAAATATATGCGTGCTCTGAAATGCATGAAGTAAAATGCAATAAACGTCTAGTTAAAAATAATAAAAATATAAGGAATGTTTTCCCACACGGTTCTTCAGTAAATTAACACAAGGAAAAATATTTAATCATTTTAAATGAATTAATATAACAAAACATTAATTTAATTTCAAATCAATTTACTTAAGTGAACAGTTCAAACTGATTCGAGGAAATGAACTGAACTCTGATGCGATGGCCAAATAAACAGTGCATTAACATCAATTCATAATGTTGCTTAATAAACAAACAGTGCATATTCAATATATTGGCCAGCATTACTTCTAAGACATTTCTTCCTCACGCACCTTCAGTCTTCAGGCTAACAGTGACCCACTCTGATCTCTGTGTGATCGTGGCTGGACTCTCCGGTGCTGGTGTTTTCCTCCCGGCGTAGACGCTCACGGCGCAGCGGTAGAGTCCGGTGTCAGCGGGGCGAACGGAGAACAGACGCAGAGAGAAGCTCCCGCCAGCCTCCTTCTCCACGCTGCCGCCTCCCGCCCTGCTGAGATCATCAGCCCAGACCACCACGCCGTCGGGATCCACGCGCGCCACCTCCACCTCCACCTCGCCCTCCGGCCCGCGCCGCATCCACTGCACCTGCAGCGCCGAGCGCTTCCACGCACCTACACCCAGCACCAGACAGCGGAGGCAGAGCGGAGCGCCGGGCCGCAGAGGGACGTCACCGTCCGGGAGCAAACGCACGCTCAGGGTGTCCGCTGCGGAGAGACAGAAAGAACACAGACTCACAATGACAAGAGCAGCACTCTCACGCTGCCTGAGCTTTAAATAGAAACTAACCCTAACTATTCCCTCATTTTAGTTAAACCAAAACGAGGGAACAAATTAGTTTTTAATTTGTGAACACGATATATAATTTTTTAAAGGATTGAGGCTGCATGATCTGGGAAAAAAAAAAAAATCTAATTTTTAATTAATCAATTAATTAATTTTAATTAAGCGATTGCAACTTAAAATGTACAAAAATTCCAGGTTTGCAATGCTTGTTTGTAGGCTGCACAATTTGGCCAAAATGTTGTGATTACATATCAATATGGCTATAAAATATTAATAAAAAGAATAAGAATTTTTATTATTATTAATAATAAAAATATTATTATTATTTTATTTCACAATAGCAATAACTATTTAGTTTGAGTATTTTTTTATATTTATTAATATATAAATAGAATTTACTTATGTATGTGTGTGTATGCATATATTTAAAATATTATTAATATTGTTATTATTAAAATATACAAATAACACAAACAGAAAAATATACAAATGACTAAAAAAACTAAAAGATAAATATTACTATTTAAGAGTAATATTTATTAAAATTGTAATATTTCACTGTAAAATAAAAATAAACAAGTATTTAAAAAATGTTTTAATTAACATTATAGCTGTAAAATAACAATAATGCTATTTATTTATTTATGTCTTAATTACTTAAAATGAGACGCTGCAAACATAAACGATAACGAGCTTCATTCTGAAACACGCAGTGCATATATTTATTTCATTAAATTGCAGGCTTTGTGATTTGATAATCAGACTAAACCACATCGCGATTCTTTTTTGGAGACAAAAGCACTTTCTCAAACTAAATGAGCTTCAGCCTGCATTTACTGCAGTAGTTTAACACATATCCAAGTTGTTCAAATCAAAAACAAAAACAAAACACAAGAATTAAACCCACGAGATTTTCTTACGAGTCTCCGTCAGCATGCAGCATCCAAAGAAGCTTGTACTGTCATAAACATTAAAACGACTCTCAATCGATATGAACAGCATTTCATTAACATGAAAGCAACGCATGGCTGATTTAATTAAGAGTAAAAGGAAGATTTTTCATGCACTTGTTAATTTTGTAATTTTTGGGCTCTTTTTTCTTCAACGTCTTCTTTTAGATCCAAAACATCCAAAATACAGATTTAAGTGTTTATTTTATTACACTTTATCTATTTGCGTCTGTAGATTTAAATTTTAATACCTATCTTCAAAGTTTTTTCTCTTCTTCAGCAGAACTTACATAAACCAAACTTTAGTTTAATTCCTATCTATATTCTGAATGTTTGTTTATATATCTTTTGCATTATTTATAACACTTTACTCCTAAAAAAAAACATGGTGAAAATGTAGTTGCTTTGCCTGTTGACAATTAATGGATAGTATAGTAGTATAGTATATATTTATTTAATGCCATGTCAGCATCAATGGCTATTTTAGACAATTAATGGAAATGTATGCAAATTTAATTAGATATTGTATCATTTGCATATTAAAACATACATTTTAGAAAATCATACAATACAAAAAATAATAATAAAACAATATTTTAATTAATAAAAAAAATTAAAATTGTATTAATTAAAAAAATGAAGAGAAAAAAAATTCTTAATGTACTGTGATTTATTAATTAAATATTAATACAATTTTTACCATATTCTCTTGTGCTGTCTTGCCTTAAGTATTTAAAAATATATCGTTTACAGGCATTTATAAGCAGACATTTATTTAAAAACTGTGGCCTTTTCTGTTTGAGCACCGAGTCATATTTTGTTTGCATCTAAAGTACGTTCTAAAGTTATAATCTAATGGATCAGATGAAATAAGAGAGGTTGTTTCTAACCAAGCGGTTGAACGGTGAGATTCCCGAGCTCCATGGTCCTCTGTGCGATGCGTTCCCATTTGCCATCCGGATCTCTGATCCACTGCTCCGCCTCGCAGAAATACGACCCAGAATCCTCGGGTGCCAGAGCGCTCATCTTCAGCGCGTACAGATCCCGGCCTCCGTCCCCTCTGCGCTTCTCCACAGCGATCTCTCCGTCCCCGTATCTCTTCCCGTAGGTGCCGCTGCGGCCCGGAGTCACGCGCAGCTCGCGGTCGATGGAGATGATCTCTCGGAGGTTGTGGCCCTGAGACTCCGGGCCCCTGCTGCTGCGCACGCCGAACGTGACGGACACGTGAGTGTGCTGATCCGATTGGACGGACGCGGCGCACGTCAGCTGAAGCTCCGTGCCTTCGATAACGGGTTGGCCGCTCAGAATTCGAGAGTGTGTTATGAGCAGCGTGTCAGGAATCACTGCGGAAATAAAGCACAAAATGCTTTCTATATTTACACGAACGAATTAGGGTCAATGAAGAACATTTATTTTTGTCAAATTTTATTTAATTTTAGTTGGTCACACTTTATATTAGGTGGCTTTAACTACTATGTACTAGGGATGGGCATTCCAAGCAAAAATAATATTTGATTATTATTCGAGAGAGACAGGATTCACACTTTCAATCTGTATGATAAACTGTTTAATTCAGAAGATAGGCTACCTTAACGCAAGCCATATAATGATTGTAACGTGCTGAAACATGTTAATATAATAAACACAACAGTCTCCATTACTTTTTAATTAATATTACAAAAAGGCTTGAACATCTCTGCTCCAAAATTAAAAAAATGAAGAGAAAAAAAATTCTTAATGTACTGTGATTTATTAATTAAATATTAATACAATTTTTACCATATTCTCTTGTGCTGTCTTGCCTTAAGTATTTAAAAATATATCGTTTACAGGCATTTATAAGCAGACATTTATTTAAAAACTGTGGCCTTTTCTGTTTGAGCACCGAGTCATATTTTGTTTGCATCTAAAGTACGTTCTAAAGTTATAATCTAATGGATCAGATGAAATAAGAGAGGTTGTTTCTAACCAAGCGGTTGAACGGTGAGATTCCCGAGCTCCATGGTCCTCTGTGCGATGCGTTCCCATTTGCCATCCGGATCTCTGATCCACTGCTCCGCCTCGCAGAAATACGACCCAGAATCCTCGGGTGCCAGAGCGCTCATCTTCAGCGCGTACAGATCCCGGCCTCCGTCCCCTCTGCGCTTCTCCACAGCGATCTCTCCGTCCCCGCATCTCTTCCCGTAGGCGCCGCTGCGGCCCGGAGTCACGCGCAGCTCGCGGTCGATGGAGATGATCTCTCGGAGGTTGTGGCCCTGAGACTCCGGGCCCCTGCTGCTGCGCACGCCGAACGTGACGGACACGTGAGTGTGCTGATCCGATTGGACGGACGCGGCGCACGTCAGCTGAAGCTCCGTGCCTTCGATAACGGGTTGGCCGCTCAGAATTCGAGAGTGTGTTATGAGCAGCGTGTCAGGAATCACTGCGGAAATAAAGCACAAAATGCTTTCTATATTTACACGAACGAATTAGGGTCAATGAAGAACATTTATTTTTGTCAAATTTTATTTAATTTTAGTTGGTCACACTTTATATTAGGTGGCTTTAACTACTATGTACTAGGGATGGGCATTCCAAGCAAAAATAATATTTGATTATTATTCGAGAGAGACAGGATTCACACTTTCAATCTGTATGATAAACTGTTTAATTCAGAAGATAGGCTACCTTAACGCAAGCCATATAATGATTGTAACGTGCTGAAACATGTTAATATAATAAACACAACAGTCTCCATTACTTTTTAATTAATATTACAAAAAGGCTTGAACATCTCTGCTCCAAACCACTAGAATATGGAAATATTACTGTACCTTCAGATCACACACAGTGCAAAAAGTGATGTTTCTTTGTCAGTATATCCATCTTGTTTTTTCTTAAGTCAAGATAAATTTACTTGAGAAGCGGTCTTGTTTTGAGACCAAAGACCAAATATCTGTTAATGGAGCAGATATCTGTTCTTCTTTTAATCATAAACTCAAATGTATCGTGGTATCGTAAAAACCAGATGGATATACTGACAAAGACCTTTTTAAGGCCTTAAACCTTGGAAGGCACGGCAAGTTTATTTATATAGCTCATTTCATACACAGTGGAAATTCAAAGTGCTTTACAGAAAAATAAAACACAAGAAATCAAAAATGGTGAATTAAGACCTCAAATAAACAAGCGATTTATTTTCCCAGCTGTTTACCTTCACAGACATAACCCACTGTTTTTTGTAACTCGTGTGTTTTTAACTTAGTGCTCGCATGCTGTGACAGCCGCTTTCTGTGCGTGTGCTTCAGATGTGTGCGCTCAGAAAACCCTATATCAGACGTTTAAACTAATATGGTTTAAAACGCATGATTTCAGCGCGATAAACATGATAATCAGAACCATAACAGATGTTTTTAGCAGGTCAGAGCTGTAAAGGCACAGCTCTATTCCGGAAAAGGGGGCGGGGAGCAGCAGCTCATTTGCATTTAAAGACACAGGCCCGAAAAACAGCATGTTTCTGCTTCCACTCAAAATAGGCATTTTCAAAATTATATAATAAATTACCTGTGGAGTATTTTGACCTGAAACTTCACAGACACATTCTGTGGACACCAGAGACTTGTAAAAAGGGGCATAATATGTCACCTTTAAGAATTTAGCACATGCATTTGAAACGTAATGATTTTTTTTTTATAATCTTCATCATCATCACTGAGCCATCTGTCATTTTTCTGATTTACCACCTACCTTTGACCACCACTGATGAGCTGTAGTTCCCTAGGAAGCGGGTGTCAGTGCTGGGCGTGTAACACTCGTAACGGCCCTGATCATCTGGACGCAGCCTCTGGATGATCAGTCTGGCTTTGTTGCCCGAATCCCTCTCGACCCGAACCTCGCCGACCTGCACGCGACTCTGGAACGGCGCGTATGGAAAGCCTGCGTCCCGCGTGGACACCACACCGATCTGCCGACCCCCAGCATCCTCCCGGTATAGGTACCACTCAAAATCCTGCGTCCGTGGGCCTTCGTATCCTGAAACGGCGCAGGGTAGGGACAGCGAGAAACCTGCGACCCGATACAGCGGCCCGGCGGGAAGAGTGACCTCTCGGCACACGCAGAACTGCAACTCTAACACACAAACAGAACAAATGCTAATCAGTCTGGATGTGAACCACAGGGATCAAGCGGTTTTCCGAGTGAGGTTGAAAAATGAGCTCACACTGCACAATATTTCCACTCAAATGGGAATATTGTACAAAAAATTCTCCACATCTACTGAAGCACACGTGATGCTCGTGGTGTTTTCAGCATCTGTAGTCTCAATATATGAGGACATGAACATATGAACACACAAAACGATTATGAATTTTCATACTGTACATGTACAAGTGTTTCTTCATCTTTGGCCACTTTTGTCCTCGTGGACTTTTACTAAATAAACTGCATATCTTCTAGTTAGCATTTGATGCATCCTAAATGCAAGCTTCAAAAAATACTTTCACATTTTCTGCATAATTGCACCAAATTACAGCTTGATTGGAAATGGCACACAATAAAAATAGTGATATTTACCTTGATTTTTTAAAAATATTTTATCTCAATCTCTTCGTAAACTAGTTTTAGAAAATTAAAAATGTAATAGGCCAGAATGGTTGGCTATGATGAAAATGATGCAATTTGGCTATTTTTATAATTGATATAAAAATGTATTTTCTATAATTGAATCTGGACTGATACAGGTGTTGTATGTTGTGATGTTGATCATGGTTTTATTTCTGGTAAAGCACGTCAACTTCGGTTGTTTTATTGGTGCCTTACAAATAAAAGAACAAATCATTTTTATACAGTTGGGATCAATACATGCAAAGCAGTTTTCAATGAGATCCACAGACCCATGGCACAATATTACCACTTAAATGAGGGGCACTGCTAAATATCGTCCCATATTCCCGTGACTGGGAGTAAGTATTGTTTATTCATGCCCAACCTTTGTTTGTGTGTGTTGTAATGCGTCTCTGAATGAAAGGGTCTGAATAATGAACAGTAATCCCATTCTGCCAGTCTACGCCCATGTTTTACAACATGTGAGGTCACAGCTGAACTCATCGTTTTAATAGGGTGAGTCATTTTGCAGACCTGTCTGAGGGTTATTTACATCCTCATTCTGCTAAAGTAACCAGAAATAAACCAGACACTCTTAACCATATAATGCTACTGCATTACATTTGATACATGAACTTCTTATGCCTTTAAATGATCGACAAGATAACATTTTGTTGTTAAACCTGTCGCACACAATCTTCTCCATGCCTTCTGTCTCTGATTGATAGTTTAGAGTTTTTTTATAGAGCCCGACCGATATATCATTTTGCCGATATTATCGGCCGATATGAGCCTGTTGCCGATATATCGGTATCTGCGAATATGCCGCCGATATGAATTTTTTTTACAGAACATATAACGCAGATAAAATGCTTGAAATTGTGTAATTACTTAGTTTGTCTAGCAGAGCGCGCTCCATTGTTTGCTACTGGCGACCTGGATGAAACGCTTTAAAGCTTATGTCTATGGAAAACCACTGAAACTTTGAACGGCCATATCTCCGTAACCAAATTCAGGGATCCCTTCAGCTCGAGGAATCCTCTTGAACGCAAATCGAGTATACGTCTAGAGGCCCGCTTTCGAATGAGACCACCCCCGATAGCCCCTGGGGTTTGGGAGTTACGGGTGGTTAAATTCGTGGTCCGGCGCCGACCGATCAAGCGATCCCGGGGGGCTACCGAGGGTGGCGTTCGAGAGGGCTCCTCGAGCTGAAGGGATCCCCCG